AGAAATTTTGACGTTTTCATCAATTTTCTTTTATAACTCATTAATTATATCTGATGGAAAAAAACTTTTCGTACAAAAAAGATTTAGAATTAACCCATAAAACATATCTAATCAGTTATTTTAATCCATCGATGAGTAGTACCAACCCACTCTAAGAATAAAACCAAATTTTGACGTTTTTGATCATTTTCGCTTATAACTTATTAATTTTGTGTGGTGGAGAATTATTTTTTAAACAAAAAATGTTTGGAATTGACTCATAAAACGTATTGAATAAAGATATTTACTCCATCAATCAGCATTACCAACCCAACTTAAAAAATATAAATTTTGACGTTTTCATCAATTTTCTTTTATAACTCATTAATTATATCTGATGGAAAAAAACTTTTCGTACAAAAAAGATTTAGAATTAACCCATAAAACATATCTAATCAGTTATTTTAATCCATCGATGAGTAGTACCAACCCACTCTAAGAATAAAACCAAATTTTGACGTTTTTGATCATTTTCGCTTATAACTTATTAATTTTGTGTGGTGGAGAATTATTTTTTAAACAAAAAATGTTTGGAATTGACTCATAAAACGTATTGAATAAAGATATTTACTCCATCAATCAGCATTACCAACCCAACTTAAAAAATATAAATTTTGACGTTTTCATCAATTTTCTTTTATAACTCATTAATTATATCTGATGGAAAAAAACTTTTCGTACAAAAAAGATTTAGAATTAACCCATAAAACATATCTAATCAGTTATTTTAATCCATCGATGAGTAGTACCAACCCACTCTAAGAATAAAACCAAATTTTGACGTTTTTGATCATTTTCGCTTATAACTTATTAATTTTGTGTGGTGGAGAATTATTTTTTAAACAAAAAATGTTTGGAATTGACTCATAAAACGTATTGAATAAAGATATTTACTCCATCAATCAGCATTACCAACCCAACTTAAAAAATATAAATTTTGACGTTTTCATCAATTTTCTTTTATAACTCATTAATTATATCTGATGGAAAAAAACTTTTCGTACAAAAAAGATTTAGAATTAACCCATAAAACATATCTAATCAGTTATTTTAATTCATCGATGAGTAGTACCAACCCACTCTAAGAATAAAAGCAAATTTTGACGTTTTTGATCATTTTCGCTTATAACTTATTAATTTTGTGTGGTGGAGAATTATTTTATAAACAAAAAATGTTGGAATTGACTCATAAGACGTATTGAATAAAGATATTTACTCCATCAATTAGCATTACCAACCCAACTTACAAAAATAGAAATTTTGACGTTTTCATCAATTTTCTTTTATAACCTATTAATTATATCTGATGGAAGAAAAGTTTTCGTACAAAAAAGATTTAAAATTAACCCATAAAGTATATCTAATCAGTTATTTGAATCCATCGATGAGTAATACCAACCCACTCCAAGAATAAAACCAAATTTTGACGTTTTTGATCATTTTCGCTTATAACTTATTAATTTGGCGTGGTGGAGAATTATTTTATAAACAAAAAAGACGTATTGAATAATAGTATATTATTCAACAAGCGTATAATGGCGGCTGTTACCCACTAAGATGAATTCTATGTATTTGTTTATCCATATCACCGTTGTAGAATATAAGGTAAGTATTAATTAAAATTATATACTATGCTGATTATTTATTATTTATTTGTCTTTACTAGTTTCGGTTACATTACCGTCCTCAGAAGACCTCTACAAAGGTAAGTATAGAAAATTATCATTAATTATATTCTTATAGGTTAACAAAAGAGGGTTTATAAATTTTAAAAAAATTTTAAAAACACTTACGTCAATAACTTTCTATAAACGTCGGGAAATGGATGTTTATTAATTATTTTATCCATTCATGCATTAAATTATAACTATCTATTGTAAAAATGAACATTAATGAATCAATTCATTGGTTATTGTTATTAAACATGTGACAAGGTGGGTAAATGAGTTAATTTTTAGGTTATGAACAATTCCAATAAACAGCAATCTGTAGTTAATTCACTAAAATCTGAAATAAATATAAAATAATAGTATATTATTATATGAGTATATAATGAGGGCTATTATTCACGAAGGTTAAGTTTATGTCACGAGCGTAGCAAGTGGCATAATTAACCTGAGTGAATAATTATTAGTCTGGTCAAGATGGCTACCCGTGAATAATGATTATTATTCACTCCGTGAAAAATGACTACCATTTTGTTTTAGAAAACTGATTCATAAGGTATATATTATAAGGTAGTCGTGGACAAAATACATTATTGTTTTCTTAATTAACACTTATAGTTGAACTAACAAAACTTGTACATTCACAATAAACATCATAAAAATGGAATAAACAAATCTATCTTTTCTTCTTATAATCTACAGAACATACAAATCGTTAAAATGAAACAGAACCAAAATGGGAGAAAAACTCGAAGGAGAAAATCAAAAATAAGGGAATTTGGGGCATGGGTTCCCATCAATGCAGCAATCGAGTCGCCACCAAACTCGATTCTCTCTTTTGATGAGAAAAGTGTATTATTTTGGGAATGGGTTTTTTAAACAACAATATAGCGGTGTTCTTTGTGGTAAAATCTGTTCGTTTAGTATTTCAATGTCTGTGTTGTTATGTTTAAATTTATTAATTTCGTAAAGCTCTAGTAATTCCCTGTGGAGGCTTTTGTTCATTTGGTGTATTATTTTGCTATTTTTCCTTTCATCAAAGTTGTGATTATTAAACATAAGATGTTTTCCAAAATTTGAGATTTCTTTAGTTCTTTGATTCTTTGGATAAGGTCTCTCCTATGTATATGGCACCACATGTATCACATTCTAGCTGGCATAAACAATTTTTTTGTAAAAAGTCTGTCTTGTCTTTGTTATTAACTATTTTGTTCTTGGTGGTGTTGCTAGCTCTGAAGGATAAACAAATGTTATATTGTCTATATATTTTTTGAATTTTATGGAAAATCTTTCCTGGATAGGTGATGGCACGATAAGTAATATTATTTTTTGTATTGTTATCGCTCCTCATAGAAGTTACATTAAGTAAAGTGGTCTTTTGTTGTATTTTATCAATCAGTTTGTGTATGGTATATTGTGGGTAATTATTGTTTTGGGCTATTTGTTGTATAATATTAATCTCTTTTTNTTATTTTTTTTTTTAGTGTTACTGAATTCGGAGCCTAACATTTTTGCATTTAATACGAAAACGGTGGATTTTATCAATATTCTCTAAGAGTGATAAAAGTTTCTAAACTAAATTTACTATTAGAAACTGCAAAAATAAATGTAGGGTTATGATAGAATAAAAAAGTTCTGAGCAAACAAACTTTTGGGACAGCCTGTATAGCATTGTTCCCGTGTACCGATCCAACTCAAAAATTGCCTAATGATTTTACGTGATATTAGTTTACACTGTACCAAATTTCAACGTTTTACCATAAATAGTGTTTAAGATATTTAGAAGAATGTGTTAAAATTTCCTATCTTTGATGGCCTGTATCTTCGTTATCATTTTCACTCTAATACATGTGGTTCATTGAGGTCTTATATATAATCTAGAGAGCGTATGTGGTGGTGGTGGGGGTAATCAGAAAGTCAAACATGTTGGATGTACCGACCTGAACTTAGCTATAGTTGCAAGTCTCTATTGTAGCTACAATTATAACCTCACAATTCTCATAAACATATTGTTATTTTTATTAAAATTTGATTTTTGATGAAAGTTTTCGAATTCTTTTCGTTTCACATATGTTTTTTATAATTTGGTAGGTTGGACGATTATTTACAACAGGCCATAAAGTGTTTCTGGTTACTTGACTTGGAATTAACAATTGAAGACCTCGGTGTAAGAAGGGGACAACTCCTTCTCTTGATAAATGGAGCTACTCCGTTCTTGCACTGAGGTCTTCAGTTGAAGTTCAAGTAAAGTTTATTATTAAGGAATGTTCAGTTTTTTTTTAAATAAACTAACAATTATTTATAAGCAAAGGTTAACGTGATCAATCAGAATTGCTTTAAATATTTTCTTCTTAGTTTATGTTAATTATAAGGGTTGTGGCTAAAAATTATTAAGTTCTTTTAAAACATCTTATAATTAATAATTATTTATCAATAAAAAATTAATGTTTTGTTTTGTTTATTATTTTCTGTCTTTCCAGTTTATAATAATGTAAATTCTTGCATAAGTATATATAAGAATTTCGAATTTCCCGCTAAGTTGGTACATCTAACATGACGACCTTTCTGGCTTCATTTTAGGCGTGGTGGGGACAACAGCATACGCACTCTAGATTATATATAAGACCTCAATGATGTGGTTACATTGGTTCCCCGAGTCACCGAAACACCCTGTATAATCGAGCCCCATAAAGATAGCATGGTTTTCAAGGTACTGCCTCAGCCGCAAGCGACCTCGGCTTAAAAATACAAATTAAGTAAATATATTTTTGATATCAGTCAACTGCTTCGTGTACCGTTGGCGTCGACTTAAAACATTTCTATTTATGTATTTGAAAAATGATTAAGTTTGATACCAAACTCAATATATTTCAAAAAAATAAAAAAAGTTAGGTTATGTTGACAAGATTAGCGGCCATTTTGAATTTTTTTAACCAAACTATCACGTAAAGATGTCGTATTTGGTATCATTTTAAACGAAATTTCATAACGGATCATTATTTATGTATAAAAAAATCATTAAAAAAAAATTTTTTTTTCTAAATCTATTTTTGTCCCAAACATTTTTTTTAAATTTCGATTAATTTTATAAATAAAATCGTTATCGCTTAAAAGAAGAGTTCTTTTTCCTCGTCTCTTCGGTTGTTATCTCAACCCGAGGATGACGTCGTCTTAAAATTTGTTATAAAATAAGTACCGAGTTGTTTCTTGAAGCAGTTTAAATCGGGACTCAAACATATTTATTTCGTTTTAATCGATTTTGAGTTAAATTAAAATCTATAAAATATTGAATTAATAGTTTTTACGAATTGTGGAATTACTTTAAATATAAAAAATAATGAAATTTGTTTGAATATAGACTAAAATAATATCAAGAATGAACGGTGAGTTAAAAATTTTTGATTAATTTCTTTTAATCGATGAATCTAACATCAAGATTTATTGCGTCACCTTAAAATGAAATGAAAGAATAAAAATTGATTAAAATTGTTACGAATGTGTTTTTCGATTGAATCCAATCAATTTTAATTTATCCCCGTCTCTTACAGACTTATTGAGAAGCTACAAAATGATCTTAAAGAGGAAGAACTCGCGCGATTCCGATTCGGAATCCCAACCGTTAGTTAGTTCGGAATCATCAATCGCAAGTTTTGGGTAAGAAAAGAATTAATAAATAAAATTTGCCTTGAAATCGGTTAATTCGAAACTTCCTCGTTCTAACGATATCTTTTTACGCGTTTCTTCCCATATAATTATCCTTTTAGCTTTAATTACGATGAAAGCTGTCTTTCGATATACGGTTCTTTCGCGTCTTTCTATCTCGACATATAAGAGACATACTTGAGAACGAGATCTTGGTTTCTTCTCGAGAAACGCTTTAATAAATATCGGAAATAAAATAAAGTATTTTTACGATTAATTCGAAAATGCCAAAGTGTTTCGTAAGAAAATTGTGCCGATAAAATGCTTTTGTGTTAAATTAACAATTCCTTCGATAAGGAAAGTTTTAAAAAAGGTGTTTCAACAATGCGGTGTTAAAAACGGAAATTAAAAAACGTTTTTGATTAGTTTATCGGGTGATTTCGAAAAGAAAAGAACTAATTAATGAATTAAATCGTTTTAGAGCTTTTCAAGATCAGTGTATGTTCCATAATTCGGATTCGTCGGAGTGCGAGGTTGAAAAATCGACGAAACCCGTTCAACAAATTCAAACGACCCCTAAACAATTTTTAAGGTAATATTTAAAATTAAATTTTGAAAAATGTTTATTGATTTTTTCCTATTTCTTAGGAGGCCGTTGTCTTATCCTGGTCAATACGAAATACCAAACTTCGACCTTTTCGCCACTAAAGATGATAATAGCTATGATAAACGGCGCTATTTCAACAAATTATCCGGAATATTAAGCGATAACAATATTGTAAGTAAACGCCCTTAAGTAAATTCTTTTTTTAATTAAAAAAATTTCTTTAATTATAATTATAATAATAATATAATTATGATTAATTTTAGACCCCGAGTCTATTTTTAAACATTTCCAATTCGATAAACACAAAATTTCCGAGGATCTTCGCCCAGCCTACGAGCTCACTCAAAAATACATGTTTTTATTCCACGATTTTATCATTTTAACGTCAGACGCGTGTTAAAAACATTTAAAAACAACCAATTAATAACAAATTATTCATAAATTATATGTAAAAGAAAGCATTAAATCGCCAAATTGATTAAAATATTCGTAATTTCCATAATTGGTTCGATTTAATATAACTCAGCAATTTTTTTGTTTATAAGCATTCGAAATTAGTTGATTAATTCTTTTTGTTTTTGTTCCAGTTTGCTTCTTCCAGTTGTTATTATCAATTTAAACTCGACAAACTGGAGGCCATCAAGACTCAAAACTCCCTAGTTACCATGTGAGTTCTTTTTATTTTAAACCAGCTTAAAATTATAATATAAATTGATTAATTCTTAAAAAAATCGATAAAATATTTTTTTTATATTAATTATCGATAAAAAGAATAGAATATTGATAAAGAGCAGGAAATTTTAACCTAATTTGATATATCACACTTTATATCCACCACTAAATTTAAATTTATTGATATAGATGGCGCTAATTGACACTTTCGATTTCGGCCATCTTAAATTAAATTTAAAAAAATTAAAAATATTACAAAATTAATTTTTTTTAATCAAAAAAAAGTCTAAATCGACTAAAAATATTTAAAATCACCAAAACAAATAAAATATTCATAAAGAGCAGGAAATTTTAACCTAATTTGATGTATCACACTTCATATCCACCACAAAAATTAACATTTAAAGATATAGATGGCGCTAATTGACACTTGTGATTTCGACCATCTTGATTTTTAAAAACAAAGATATCTCCACTCTCATAACACGTAGATACGTCGTGTTTAGACTCATTTTAAAGCTTTTTTAATTATCTACAACAAAATTAATGAATCATTTCTTTTCGGCCATCTTGGATTTTAAGAAAATAGAAATATTTCGGGAAAAGTGTTAACTAAATAGGTCGTGTTTGGGCTTATTTTAAATAAATTTCTTCGAAGATTAAAAATATTGCACAATTAATTTTTTTTTAACCAAAAAAGAAATTCTAAATCGATTAAAAATATTTCAAATCACCAAAATGAATGAAATATTCATAAAGAGCAGGAAATTTTAACCTAATTTGATGTATCACACTTTATATCCACCATAAAAATTAACATTTAAAGATATAGATGGCGCTAATTGACACTTGCGATTTCGGCCATCTTGATTTTTAAAAACATAGATATCTCGACTCTCATAACACGTAGATACGTCGTGTTTAGACTCATTTTAAAGCTTTTTTAATTATCTACAGCAAAATGGCTAAAAATAAATCTTTTTCCTATTCCTCCATCCTGTTCTCTATCCTTTACATCTGCTAGAGACTTCCCTCTCTTCTTCCCAACATCTGCTATTCTTTCTTTCCACTTCTTCCTAGGTGTTCCCCTCTTTTTCTTATCTTTATTCTTTGCTTCAAATAACTTTTTTATTATTGTGTACCTCTTCATCCACCCCTAGTCTTATTTCCTCCAGTCCTATATTCTGCAAAAATTTCATTACCATGGCCGTGACCTTACCTTCTTATTTATTTTGGAGTCTCCATGACCCACTGGCATATATTAATATTAGAATTTCCACCGAGTTGTACACTTTGAATTTTATCTTTTTATCTATCTCCTTCTTCCCAAAAATTGTTCTGTTTAGAGTATAATATACGTTATTTGTTTTCCTTATTCTTGCATTTATGTCTAAATCTATCCTTCCATCTTGCGATATTATACTGCCCAAGCACTCATATCATGATACTTCTTCTTTTGTTCCTTAATGCATATTCTTTTATTTATCATCACGATTTTACATTTATTTACGTTCAATTCCAGGCCCATTTTTTCAATTTCTTCTGTCCATAGAAAGGGAATAATGAGGGTTCTGCAGCGGAAGTATTCCTTCATTCCTTCGTGACGTCATATGCGCGTGTGTTGTTGGTTGCCTAACTCGTGTGTCGCCACCTAGTGATGGGTGGTCGAATTACAAGTGTGGGATTTGCTTGGGTTGGGTTGGGTACAGTTTTTTTGCTATTATCTTTGTTAGTTTTTGGTTAATCGTGTCAAAAGTTGCTTTTAGGTCCAAGAATATTAGGTATAGTTCATTGCCCGTCTCCATTTTTTTTTCAATGATATTTCGAATTACATGTTTGTTATCATTCGCTTGTTTGCTTGTTCTGTATGCTGCTTGTTCATCTTCTATTAACCGTTCTGGTATCTCTTGTATTTGCGATCCAGCTTTCACTGGCATAGCTAAATACAGGCTTCATCCTTTCCAAACACACAATAAGTCAGGGCATAGTAAGCCTTGGTAGCCTTATCCACTCTTCTATTCCTGACCTCTTCAGTAAGGTTGCCCGTCTGGTGTATTGTCGTGCCTTGATATTGATAGCTGCTGATCTGGGTGAGAAGTTCCTCTGTACTCGTCACCAACATAACTTGACTCCACATTTCAACATTATGCCCCTCTCTTTTAGAGTTCCTAACCACTCGAGTACAGCTTGTTGCAATTTCCACCCCGAGTCTGCGTTGGGGACTACATACATCATTTGCATATATTAGAGCCTGACTCATAATTGGTCTGAGGTTGGACATGCTGACCAGCGAAGTGTCCGTTCTTCTCTTGCAGTCTTCATCAGTTCATCCATAAAAGCTACGAATAGCAATGGCGATAATTTTTGGTGTCATTTTTCTATGACGAACACGTTAAAGGAGTCCCTTTCTTCTCTAGTGCTTTCCAGACCTCTTACCTGGGCACCTCATCAAACGCAGTGTACATATCTCAGAAACCCAGGTATGCACATTTCTCTCTGCTGATCCACTTATCAGTTATACAGCGCAGGGAGAAAATGAAATCTTGTATTTGTCGTCGTAATTTGATACCGGCCTGCTCCTCATCCTGCTCTTTTCCGGTGCAAGTTTTTAAGAGGCGCATATACTCTAGGATTCTGCAATTACATTAATGAGGCATATGGCCCTGTAGTTTTCATAGCATGTCGAGGGGACTCTTCTTGTATATAGGCGTGATTCTGGTTCTTTGCCATTCTTGTAGTATCCGCCCTAGTCTCCTAATCCTAATATCAGCCTAATACCAAGCTCCTGCTTTCACCATTTCTGGTACTATTTTGTCCTCTACACCTGCATTTTCATTTTCTTGATAGCGTCTTGCACCTCCTCCAAGATTATTGGCTTCTTCACCGCTAATTTCGATTCTTCTCCTCCCCTGCATTTGTCTCCCTCCCGCCGTTTCCGGTTCCCCACGTCCTCCATCCTTGAAAAAGTTTCATTCCAGGTTTTCTCCAAACTCTTCCAACCCTACAAAAAGTCATCCTCTTCTATGTTATCCTTTTGGTTGACCTATCAATATAGGTGTCGTATCTATATGTAATATCTTGTGGTACTATTCCGAACTTCGCCGCAGTTGTCATTTGTTCACAGTGCACACTTGAATGTTGACACGTGTTTTAACGAATTACGATTAGTCTGTTAACTTTGTGATGGTGTGAAATTCCTTCACCAACGTATTGTACGCTGAAATATAAGGGGACTTTTTTAGAAGTGTTACATATGGTTCTTGTAGAAAAAGCCTATATTTTCGTATGCAAATTTTCACAAAAATAGTACCAGCAGTTAGGTAACTCCTTGGTTTTCTTGCCTGCTCCATTCCATTTACATAGCCATGTTTTAATCATCGTCTGTACCGGCTGCATATTGAGCTTTTCTCGAATATAGTTCCGTATTCTGTCCCTCCGGAGGCATTTAATTTGGACCGTATTATCCCAACATCCTTTCCAAACACACATCAACTCAAGGCATAGTAAGTCTTGTCCACTCTGTTCCTGACCTCTTCAGTAAGTTTGTCCATCTGGTGGATTGTCGTGTCCAGATATTGACAGCTGCTAATCTGGTTGAGATGTTCCTGTGTCGTCGTCACCACCATAACTTGACTCTTCACATTGTTCAACGTCATGTCCCTCTTTTTTAGAGATTTTAACCACTCGAGTACTGTTGCAATTTTCTCTCCGTGTCTGCGAGGAGGATTACTCATCTGCATATATCAGAGACTGACACATGATTGATCTGAGGTTGAGGATGCCTACCAGCGAAGTTATTGTTCTTCTCTTGCATGTCTTCACCACTTCATCCATAAAAGCTACAAATAGCGATGAGTATAAACTGTCCTTTTTCCATGACAAACATATTAGAGGTCTTCCCGTTAAACATCACCGCTTTCTCCACTCGCTGGAACATGAACCAGATGCTGAGCATCAGTTGTGAGGGAGTCCCTTTCTTCTCTAGTGGTTTCCAGACCTCTAACCTAGGCACTTCATCAAACGCAGTGTACACATCCAAGAAATCCAAGTATGCACATTTCTCTCTGCTGATCCACTTATCAGTTATACAGCACAGGGAGAAAATGAGATTTTGTGTTTAACGTCCTAGTCTGAAACCAGACTGCTCCTCATCCAGCTTTTTCCCAGTGCAAGTCCTTAGAAGGCGCCTATACTCTAAGATTCTGGAGTATAGCTTTGCAATTACATTAATGAGGCGTATTGCCCTGACTAGGAATGATTATGGTTCTTTGTCATTCTCCTAATCCTAATATCCGCCTAATACCAAGCTCCTGCTTTCACCATTTCTGGTACTATTTTGTCCTCCACACCTATTTTGTCATTCTTCATTTTCTTGATGGAGTCTTGCACCTCCTCCAGAGTTATTGGCTTCTTCATCGCTGATTCTGATTGTTCTCCTCCTCTACATTCCATTTTTTCTTTCCAGATTTACTCTTCTGTTGTCGTTTTGGTTGACCCTCCAGCTATCAGCCCTCGGGGCAAGCAAAATCCAGCCGTCGCGTTATGGGGGTATATGATTAAATTACCTACTTTCCGTTCTCCGCCTTTATCTTCATTATTTCCGTTAGTAGCTCCATAATGACTCTTCGCAGCTCCTCCGTTCCAATAAGATTTTCTGCGAAGTGAGGAAACACTCAAAAATTGTGTGCATCGGTGTGTCCTCTTTGCTACATCTGTACCAACAGTTGCAGTCGCTCGCTTGCATCTTTCCAATCTTCTTCAGATAGCTCTCAAAGGTACCGTGCCCTACAATAGCTTGCGTGGCGTAATAATTGGTGAAGTTTCCATTCGAGCATATCTCTTATGAAGTAGCTCGCCCATCTTTAGTATTACTTCTATCTCTCCTGTCATCCGCTCTCCTCTGGTCTTCCAGTTTCTAGTCCTCTCCTATGCCAATAGGTCATAAGGAGGGTACCTGGTCAGGGTTCCGATGGTCTTCGTAGAAGTTGTTCTGTA